AGGGGCTGAGCTCTGCCCTCCCTTTGCAGCTGGCTTTCTTCCACGTGCGCGGGGACGACAAACCGGCTGTGCTGCTCCACCTGCTCCGGAGCGTGGTAAAGCCCCAGGACCAGACGGTCGTCTTCGTGGCCACCAAGCACCACACAGAGTATCTCAAGGAGGCAAGTGGCATTTGGGGGCGCCCAGCGTGTACCCCTGTTAAAGGGCAGGCTGCCGGCGGTGCCCGAGACCCCTTTCCAGACCCAACGTGGGGTCTGCATATCTGGGCACGTCCCTGCTGGAGTCTCCACCTCTGTTTTGCCAGGTTGAGGGAGAAATCCCAGTATATGTGATTGTGGAGGTGCTGTGTCCACCTACCCCTCAGAGAGAGGAGGGAGCGCAGTGGGATTTGGGGGTCTGGGTGGGCACCCCGGCGTCTCAGGGCCCTGGGAGCTAGGGGTCCCTGCCCAGGTGGGATCTGATCTCTCTCCCCACCTCCAGCTGCTGACGGCCCAGGGCATCCGCTGCACACACGTCTACAGCTCGCTGGACCAGACCGCCCGCAAGATCAACATCGCCAAGTTTGCCCAGGGCAAGTGCCCAGTGCTGCTGGTCACCGACGTGGCCGCCCGCGGGCTCGACATCCCCATGCTGGACAACGTCATCAACTACAGCTTCCCCGCGAAGGCCAAGCTGTTCCTGCATCGCGTCGGTGCGTGCCCGCGCACCGTGCAGGGGTCCTTGCAACCTGGGGGTCCCTCAGGGTGACGGGGAGGGTGTGAGTGCGCTGTCCCTTGTCCCGTGTTTCCCATGGCTGTGGCCTGCTGGGCTGGCACTGATGCCCCGGACGTGGTGGTGATATCTTTGGGGCACGAGGTCACCATGTTGTGACATGAGGAGACAGGCTGGGGACAGAGCGGGAGCAGGAACATCCCTGAGCTCCCAGCTGGGCTGCGGGGGCTCTTCGGGGCTGGTGCCTTCCCTCTTGGATGGCACCGTGGTGGGCTCCCCTTTGCCTCCTTCCCCAGCGGCCCTCAGCCCCTTGCCAGCCAGGGTAAATGTCACGTGCGTGGGCTCCCATGGACACCAGTGGGTCCCTGCCCAGGTGGGGGCAGGCGGGGGTGGCACTGGGTCTGGTTTCCCACTCTCCTCCTCCCCGTCCCAGGTCGTGTGGCCCGAGCTGGCCGGAGCGGCACTGCCTACTCGCTGGTGGCTCCCGATGAGATGCCCTACGTCTTTGACCTCCACCTCTTCCTGGGGCGACCGCTTGTCCTCGCCGGTGCCCAGGAGATGCCCACCGGTAAGGCAGATTGGGGTGGCTGCACGTCTGAGCTGCGACACTGGCCACGTGGCCACTGGGATTTTATCCTTGGCCATGCTGGAGTTCGTGGTCTTGTGGTTGGCATTTGTGCAGAGGGGTGATAAGCTCTCGTTACAGGGGTGTGGCTGGGGAAAACGGGGTGCTGGGGGCTCTGGCGTGTAGCAGGGAAGCTGATTTAACTCCACCGCGCTCCGTGTGGCTGTTGTTAGCTCCGCTTTGTTTAATCCTGGGTTACTGCTGTGCCCGCTGCCACAACCCTGGGGTGGGGACCAGGGAGTTGATGCAGAGTGTCCCCTGGGCTGCAGATGCCGGTGGGGTGTTGGGCCGCGTCCCGCAGAGCCTCGTGGACGATGAAGAGTGCCTGCTGCTGACGGATCACGAGGGCTCGCTGGAGCTGCGGAGCCTGCGCCGCGTCGCCGACAATGCCCAGAAGCAGTACCTACGCTCCCGACCCGGCCCCTCGCCCGAGTCCATCAAGAGGGCGAAGGACCTGGATGTGTCCCAGCTGGGCATCCACCCGCTCTTCAGTGAGTGCCTTGGGGACGCTGAGGGAGGGGACCCCGTCCCCCTCACCGAGGAGCTGATCTGTGCCCCTCTCCGTGCCCGTGTTTCCCAGGCGCTCGCTTTGAAGACACCGAGCTGGAGAGGCTGAAGTTCGTGGACAGCATTAAGACCTACAAGTCCAAGGCGGTGAGTTGAGACCTGTCCTTGGGCACGAGGCACCTGGGTTGGGGTGGGAGGGAAGGTCCGTGCGCCCAGCCGTGCCGCTCACTGGGGCTCGTGCTCCTGCCTCGGGAACAGACCATCTTCGAGATCAACGCCACGTCCCGGACACTGGCCAGCACTGTGATGCAGTCGAAGCGGCGCCGTGACCATGCCCTCATCGAGAAGTACCAGCGTGGGCAGCAGGAGAAGCGGGCAGCGGCTCTCAAAGGGCAGGGGCTCTGCTCTGCCCCCCCCGGGCCCCAGGAGGGAGAAGAAGAGGAGGAGGAAAACCTCCAGGTAAGGGGGCAGGAACAGGGGGTTGCCACAGCCGTGGGAGCTTGGCTGGGCGCTGGCAGCACCGGGGCCCCCAGGCTGTGCCAGGTTCGGGGGCTGGTGCAGTGACTGGTCGGGGGATGTGGCCCCCCAA